TTTGGTACATATTAATACTTTAAGGGTGCATATTAGTACCTTAAGAGGACATATTCATACTTGAATGTTGTATATTTGTATTTATAGGGAAATCTTAGTACCGTTAAGAGGACATATTACTACTTGAAGGATACATGCTGTATTTGTATTTTCAGGTACATACTTTAAGGGAGCATATTAGTACCTTAGGATGACATTAGTATTTTAAGGGTGCATATAGGTGTAGCTTTGAGGTGTACTTCCCCTGTGACATGCTAAAGGTACAGTTTTTGCACATTTTGTCTTAGTGTGTATACTGATAGAAACTGATATAAAGCAATAGACAGAACAGGATTTTCTTTCACAATACAATTGTATGACATTCCAAATTGTGTAAATTTTTTTCTCTCCATAAAGGTGAGAAGAATAGAAAAATTCTGTATGAACGGAATGTAGAAAAGACCCTCACTGACCTTCTCATGCAGGAGAATGAGAGTGTACGCACTGCTGCATGCCAGGCTGTGGCATCAGTGAGCAAAAACATTTCCAGCGGAGATACATTCAGATGTCTGGGTAAACTCATTTACATCCCTTTTTATTTCCCTTTTTAATTCAATCTAACGTTAGTTTTGTCAAAATTATCACTCTTGTCCTTTTGTGTCATTGAAGCGCTGATGTCTCTGTGCATTTCAGATGCAATTAAGCCCATCGTGCAGCTGCTGAACAGAGACGGAAGTGAGTTGAGAATGGTTGCAGCAGAGGCCCTGTCCAGCTTGACCAGCAGCAACAATCTCAATGCTTAGTAAGTCATTATTTTGAAATGCAACAAGATTGTATAATCAATACAGTATTGCACAGCTCTGTGGTAATGCACCTTTCTTTATCCCTTTTTCAGTGCTATATATGATGCAGAGGGTGACAAGCTCTTGGTGCGACAGCTGCGAGACAGCTGCAAGGGAGCAGCTGTGTATGCGGCATCAGTCTTGACGAATATGGCATCGCAGGAGGAGCTGCGCATAAGCATTCTGGCCCATGAAGCTATGCCAGCATTGGTGGAGCTGCTACACCCCACTGACAACAACACTCTCATCAGTGCAACACAGGCTGTGGCTTCACTGGCCTGTGATGCAGAGGCTAGGATGAAGGTAACAGTGCACTGCTCAAAAGAGTCCATTTCAAAGATCTAAACAAACGCCACAGCTTATCAGCTAACTGAGTGTAGGAAAAACAAACATTTTTTTTTATGTGTAAGTGGCTATAAAGGACGTAAATGGATATTTTTGTACTTTGCATTATGTGTGGTCTTTGGTGATTGTTTTTTTTTTTTTTTCTTTACATGTAGCTGAGAAATGTTGGAGGCCTGTCAACTTTAGTTCAGCTGCTCAAATCTATCAATATTGAAATTAGAAGAAATGCTTCCTGGGCAATTAGTGTGTGTGCAAACGATGAAATAACAGCTCTAGAATTGTGTAATGCCGGGTAAGCATGTTTTATGCTGTAATACACTAAATTTCCCTAATTCAAAGTCTATATATTAACATAATATATGAGGCAAGTTTCCATTCATCAAATGGATGCTGTGAGCCTTGGATTAAAAAATATTACTTGCAAGGATTTTTAATAGGCTTGAGATGTTTACAACATTTGCAGAATTAACTGATTAACTCTTAACGTAAAACCAGTAGATGGCAGTAAATCCCAAGTATAAGATCTCTAGAAGAAAATGAAGCCTATTTTAGGACTAGATTTTGCATTTGTGATGAATTTCTATGACAATTATACACATTTTCCTCCAAACTTTTCATCTTTTACTGCATGTGGATATTTTATATAAATAAGATTATTCTCAGTAGCCATTTCCATTATATTTTAATTGCAGAATTTTTGTATTTAAATACATTTTTTAATAAATCAAAGGCAGAACAACAAACACTACCATGATATAAAAATAAGTTACAGTTGAATCATATAAATTATTTTGTATTGCATTATATGAGGGGGTTGATTGCATTATTCAATCAGGGGATGAAGTTTCATAAAAATAATGCCATAATGCAATACTACTAATAATAGTGTGCTATAATAGGCTTAATTTAAAAAAAAAAAAAGTATTTCTTTTTATTTGGGGGGGAGATATGACCAGGATGTGTTCCTGAGAGATTCCTGTTTTGAGAGATTCACTCTATCAGATGTTTTGGCTGGTTAATGGTCTCTTCATTGATTGTTCGGTCATTTAGTTTTGTTGTCATCAATCTTACAGAGCTCTGGAGATACTCCAGGAAATCAACCTGTCACCAAACCGTAACAACAAATTTAGTTAGCTGGCACTACAGAAGCTTCTGGACAGTAATCTATCGTTGAAGTTAGGGCTGCACGATAAATCGACAAGATGCGCATTAAATATCGCATGCGATTTATCGTGCAGCCCTAGTTGAAGTATAGTTTGACAGGATACCTGTCAGCCAGTGATATAACTACTGATGGCTTCTACAACCCTGGACAGGTCCAAATGTGAATGTTTTTCAAGAGCCAAAATAAATCCTCAATCACAGAGGTTGCACACATCAGTCAATCTCTTTTCTCTTCCTTTCTCTGCTTCCTTCTGCAGATAAGAATGGGTCATCAGGTTCCTACCTTGGAGGGAATATCCAAACAAATTGTCAACCAACATCGAGCCACTATTGAAGTTAATGGGAAACCCCCAAATCAGTATGTTAAAGGGGTCATATGATGCGATTTCATACAACTTTGCGCTGTGGATCGCCAGATCGGCTTTCACCGTGGACTAGTGATGTGCGGATGGCGGTTATATCCGCGGGCGTACACATTTCATTACACCAAATACACAAAATAATGTTCTTTTTAGCAGCATCATATGACCCCTTTAAGGCCAAGGGTCATGCTTTGGCGATCCAAACCTACTGTTTCAAATTACTGTCACATGAATCTTGCTCAAACATTGTATCAAACAGCTCCACAAATAGTAGTTTCCTCACTGATTTAGTGTATTCATAATCATTTTAGGGGCACATTTAACCAAATGTACACTAAACGTCTTTTCTCTCTAGAATTGAAATCTCTTTTCACATCAGAGAGAAAACAAGCTCTTTGTGGAGAATAAAGACTTTCAGAGCCCACCCTCTTCCACACCATTAGTTCTATAGCAGCACACTTGAATATTAAATACCTCTGTTGCACAACAGATAGATGTAGACAGATGAATTTCCCCCGGGGAAATTCTTTCGCATGGCTCGGGAATCTGGCCCAGAGCTCCCACAGGAGAAATGGGAGTTCTGCCACTGAGGCCCAAGCAACACAATTCATGCTCAGTTCAAGTTAATTACATGTAAAGATTCTAAATTGCAAACAGAACATTACTTGACCACTTTAAATGTTTGTTTTTGTGTTCGTTCTGATGCACTAATCTTGGGGTTTGTGGATTCGGTTCTACCATCCAAATTAGTCAAATGCCAAGAGAGCACAAAGGCCATTTCATCCACGGCTCTAGGACATGTTGTGAAGTAGTTTGATGGTTTTGCATAGTGAATGTTAAAGGCATAGTCCAGCCAAAAAAAAAAAAAAATTTTGATGAAGGTCATCCAAGATGCAGATGAGTTTATTTCTTCATTAGAACAGATTTGGAGAAATTTAGCTTTACATCACTGGCACCAGTGGATCCTCTGCAGTGAATGGGTGCCATCAGAATGAGAGTCCAAACAGATGATAAAAACATCACAATAATCCACAAGTAATCCACATGAATCCATCGATTAATGCCTTGTGAAAAGTTGTGTGTTTGTAAGAAAAAATTCCATTCTTAAGGCATTTTAACTTTAAACCATCGCTTCTGGCCATAATACCATGGCATGAAGCATGGAGCTTGTCGTATGACGCTGCATTTCATAACCTTGTCAAAGAGGCAGCCGAATCCATCTCGCCACTTCAGGATGAGGACATTCTCATTGTAATCCCATATTCAACATCCATTTGGCTGAAGTGGTGACAAGTGATATTTTTCACAGGTTAGTGTGTGATGCAATGGGTGGCCAGGTTGAGCCAGAGAAACTACACAACTTTCTGTGGGAACAGCACATAAGCGAGCTGAAATTTGAAGCCTGTTCCAACATCGTTCTCATTGGAAAGATTAAAAAAAGGCACTTTCATAGAGCATTGCTTTACAAGGTAATTTATACATCCTTCTGTGCTCCAGAGATCCTGTGCTATTGGCAGAACCCTCTCTCTGATTGACCGTCTATAAAAATGGCCTGACTGTGACTTTGTGCAACCAATGATGTAACCACATATTCAGCAGTGTAGTAATTTAAGAATCACATAATGAAAAAACTAAAATAAATAAATGTGAATATTTGGTGGGACGTGTGGTTACGGCTTCAGTTGCAACTGATATTTCTGCTCAATTGTGTGTAACAGATTAATTGCTATCCATTTTGGGTTCTTGCAGATCGAATTGGGCTGAGCTGCAGTCTCGTAAGAGGAGAATACAACCGTGCCTGGAATGAAATCTTCATTACCGGTCCAAAGAAAACTTATGGTTACTCTCAGCCTGAATGTTATATCATAGATCTCATGCATCAACCTGGAAACCTCATGAAAAGCAACTCACCAGCAGCTCTAGCATATCGGACCAATTTATGTTAGTCTTATGTTTATACACACACACACACACACACATACATTATATATATATATATATATATGGTTCAGATTTATTTAATATAAGAATTGTTTTTGATATAAATTTTGGTGTCGGGGTCAGGAAAGTGATTAATGCATCATTTTATGTTATATTTATTGTACTCCGTCAAAGTGAAGTGAATTTACTTCTAATAAAGTATTATCAAAAATTATGTGAATTCTGGTCAAATCTTAGTTACATTGTATTATCTCTGATGGTAGTAACTGTTGTATCAGGCGTTACACGTTGTTCTCCCATATGAAGGTCAAAGTCTGCGATGAAATGGAGACTATGATAAGAGCAAAAATATTCCGATAAGACAAAAAACAAGGAACCTAAAAAACTAATTTTTAAAAACTTCGAAGTGCATGATGATTACATGATTAGTCCATTGACAAAAGGTGCAAAGTTTGATCGGTCTCAGTCAGTCAGTCGACCGTGACCCATAAAGTCTGTGAGTTGTGACCGGTTTCCGCTGCTCGAGCTGTGCGGGGGGGAATGAAGACAACTGAGCTCCATTCAGCTTCTTTTCGGTCTTTTTGGGTAGCCCATGTGAACTAATAGTGGAGAAAGTCAGGCCACTGCATGAAATAATATGTCGAGAAAAATGTCACGTTTTCTAATTCGCTTCTCCTCTATCGTTTCCAACGGAGCGACTGTCAAATCAATTTTACATCAGAAGAGGATATTTGCAGGGATTCGGCTGATGTCTACATCAACGGGTAGGGGTTTTGCCTCGATCTATATTGTGTTTAAAAAATGAAGAACCCCAAGACATTATTTCTGTTATAATCATTCTATTTTGTGAAATGTACATTTTGTGCAATTCCATTTCGTTATCTATTGAGTCGGTGCAAAGTGCAGTTATTCTAGTCATGTAGCTCAGAACATGCATGCGTGATCTGATTACTCAAACACAGTGTTGGCTTTTGAAAAGGGCCTGCAAAAGAAACTAATCTAAAGTAGTAAATAAATAAAAAAAATAATCTCAGCACTGACGCCGGAAATTACTCAAAATCTAAAAGAAATTCACAATATATATAATTTTAAATATATTAGTAACATTTTACCTTATTAGATAGTATAACAATGATGTATTCGATTTCTTTGGCTAATACCACAAAACATAGAAATCTCATCAAATTCATGTTGTTGTTTTATCAACAGAAACGATGTCACTGCCTAGAAAATGACGTCATTAAAGACCTGACTTTGTTAGTTAAAGGGATACTAGAAGACCAACATGACAAAATGTAAAATTGCTACTAATTAAAACAATATTCCAAAGACATTTTTGTTTGAAACATTTTCATTAGAGAAATATAAAAAGGAAGAAACACTTGGATTTTTTAGTTTTTATTTATTTATTTTTTACAATTCTTTACAAATTGTGAGATTAATATCCATTATATTAAGACGTATGTGTTGGAACAAAAATGTATTGCGTTTATGGCTGTTTATACAGGTTTGCAGTCATTGACACGTTATGACCAGTCCACAGATTGGCAGAGGAAGCTGACTCCAGAACAGTATGTTGTTACAAGAGAAAAAGGCACAGAGGTGGTACGTTAACAAAGTAATAATAATGTTTAAAGTAGCTGGTAATTTGGTAACTCGCATAATATCACACAATTTTCTGGATACCTTAATTTGCCTTTGAGAAAGAAAAAATAAATAAGTACACACTTTTTATTTTATAGCCATTCAGTGGCATCTACTTGAATCACAATGAGGTGGGCATGTACCACTGTGTTTGCTGTGACTCCCCTCTTTTTAGGTAAGAACTTTTAAAAACCTAAATCAAAATACAATTAAAATTGTGTAATTCTCCTCTAAGACAGATTGATACTTTTAAATATATACAGTTAGGAGGAGTGACAAAAGAACAAAATGATAAAATTAACAAAAATAATATTAAATTAAAATTTTAAATCTATTAAATATAAAATAAATATTAAAATCTATTATTATAAATAATAAATTAAAACTTGCAAATATAAATACAATTTTGCCTTTTGCTCCGACAGCTCAGAAGCGAAATATGATTCAGGAACTGGGTGGCCGTCCTTCTATGAGGCTCATGGCACATGGGAAAAAGACGAGAGTCACGCCAACATTGTCCGTCGCCCTGACAACTCACTTGGTAGCACAGGAACAGAGGTTATCTGCAAACATGTGAGCGCAGGACAATGATGTCGGCTGGTTTAATCATTGTGTTGGCTTTTTCGGAAACCATACTTTGTGCTGTTTGCTAACATACAATGTAAATAGTAATAATTCCACTCTTCCTTTCAGGTTGCCAGATACCATTATAACATGTCATTTTGTTTTATAGTGTGATGCCCATCTTGGACACGTCTTTGATGATGGTCCGGATCCTACTGGCCAGCAATTCTGCATCAACAGCATTGCTCTAAACTTTAAGCCCAGAGAGAAATAATGTAGAGACAGCCATATATCTCCGGACAGTATTTTACAGTTATTTCATGCAAATAAAGAAAACAAATAGGATTTGAGTAACAAATGTCCACCTGGTATGCTATGAGTTAGTCTACAAATTAAAAATAAGTGTTCCAAAAGGGTGTCTTTATCAGAAATCCCATTTTTGATTCCTCAAAAATGACTCATTTCTATGAACAGTCCTTAAAAGAACCATTTTTTCTTAGTGTAAAGAACATTTAAAAATTCTAATGAACATTTTCCACTGTAAAGAACCCACTGGGAGGGTTCTAAAGATGTTACAAGTTCTTATTGGAAACAGATGGCAATAATAATAATAAAAAAAAAAAAAAATTTTATTTTTTATTTTTAGGAGGTTGATAAAACATACCATAAGAAGGTGTCATTGTGTTCCTGTGCACTGTAATGTTGCATTATGATATATTGTATTTTTGCATATTATAATCGGAGTGCAAACACTTTGACAAAATAAAAAAAAACTTATCAAGTTGTATTAAAGTGAACATTGCCAAAAAAATGTGTATTTGTGTGGGTTTGTCTATGATAAACCGGAGTAGGGGGTCATCATCCTAATCTGTGTCGGGCAACACTGGACAGTTGACCGACTCATATTAGCAAACTTTTAACAGCTGTAGGGGAAGACCGGTATAAAGTGAAGTGACAGTGAAGTGACATGACATGTGGCCAAGTATGGTGACCCATACTCAGAATTAGTGCTCTGCATTTAACCAATCCAAAGTGCACACACACATCAGTGAACACACACCCGGAGCAGTGGGCAGCCATTTATGCTGCGGCGCCCGGGGAGCAGTTGGGGGTTCGGTGCCTTGCTCAAGGGCAGTGGGCAGCCATTTTTTGCTGCGGCGCCCGGGGAGCAGTTGGGGGTTCGGTGCCTTTCTCAAGGGCACCTCAGTCGTGGTATTGAAGGTGGGAGAGAGCGCTGTACAGTCACTCCCCCCACCTACAATCCCGGCCGGTACGAGACTTGAACCCGCAACCTTTGGGTTACGAGTCCGACTCTCTAACCAGTAGGCCACGACTTCCACGACTAAAAGTGTCCACGAATTTTAGTGAACAAGTTAAAAAGAACCGATTTCATGATTCGCCTCTGGCTGCATTTGTTCTTTGTGCTCATGTGGCTCGGTTTCTGGGAGCCTGCCGAGGCACAAAGAGCACGGTTTAAACCAACACCACCGAAGACAAAGAAATCCGAGGCAGAAAAGACGATTGAAAAACTAGCTCCAGGTCAGAACATCAACATTGATCAGGTATATTTCAACATCCTTCATGTCATAGCAATCAACTTAATTCATTTTGGCACATTGAATAAAAAAGGCACATAATTTTATAGGCTATGAGTGAACATTATTCATATTAATAGGCCATTAATCTTGCCCAATGTTGTTTCAACAGACGGCAGATATATTTCTTCATAAATGCACGCATAGTTTGTTGCAGAGTGATTTTACACCACCTGATTAAAAACTCATTCTCTCTGGATTTGCATAGTGGGTTGGAAGTGGTACATGCTTACTGTGGCATCACGGTGTAAGAATCTTCTGGAGAGTGGCTTCAAGGTGGAGAGCACCATTGTCACTTGGACGGTCACTGGTGAAAAGGTGTCAGTGAGCACTGTGAGAAAACCGAGTACTGTTTAAGCCACATTTTACTTACTGCATTTAAGACTTCCCAGCTTATCTTAGTTCGCTTTATGATATACTGTAGTTTGGTTTATCCAAATACTAGCCCTTAATTACCTTTGTTACTGACATGGTGCACACAGCGGGGAGGAACAAGGAACACGGAGACGAGGAATAACTCAAATAAACAGACTTTAATCCATCCCAACAGAGGCAAGACAAGGCAGGGCTGAGAACACAAGGAACGTAACGACCAGACCAGACCAGACCAGACCAAAGGGGAACTGAACAGGCAGGAACTTAAATACAAGGGTAATTAATAGAACACAGCTGAACGGAATCATAATTAAACTAAACAAAGACAGGAAAATTACCAGATATGGGCATAAGAGGGAGGGAAACACAAGACACAAGACTGACAATTACCTTGGTTATAAGAGGGCAGGAAATCCCAGGTCAATAGGGTAAAAAATAACTAACAAATCACCATACTTCCAGGTGACTGATTACATTAAGAATTGCAAACACTTGTTTGTATTACCATTGTCTAATTAAATATCTGCTAAATTGCATACAATTCTAGAACAAAAATCTGAATATTGGATAAAGCCAGGTTCAAAATTCTTGTGTCATTTAATTGACATACTTGAGTCAAAGGTTTTTATGGAGGGGATTTTGAATATCTCTTTTTATCACTCTATAAATCTGAGAATTCTGTCAACAGCCTGGGGTGGGGGGCATGTTCACCTTTTTTTATTATTATTAAATGTTGTTTAAAATCAAGCAAAATATAAGAATAAACCTCTCTGTAAAAACCTTTAGAGAATGAAACTGTAAAATTTGGTCTATATAAGTGCTACTGAAGTGGAGATTTCTGGCTCAGTTTAGGAGAAATATAAAAAAAAGCCTTTAAAGATATGTATTGTAATTGAAATCTACAGACACAGATAGATAAAGTGCAATAAAAGAAACACTTAAAAGTGTAGTTTGAATGTTTTCTTTCCACTATTCTGAAAAAGAAAAAAAAAACACTTAATGAAAACCCCAAAAGCTGCATGGGAAAACAGCATTTTTGCCTGTATTATCTCCCTTTCAAGATCAAGATTTTCTCTGAGGCATTGCAAGTTCATCAGGCAGTAAAATGCTTATAATACTAATAAATCAAGCATTCCTAAACAGTATTTTTAGATTTTTTAAAAATTAAATTATGATGATAGTGTGTACCATATTGTGAGTATTAACTTACACAGGTAGGCCATGATTATGATGGTTGCATGATGATGATGCAACCTTTAAAAAGTCCCCTTTGGCAACTTGTAGACTCTCATTTAATTACAACTGATGTAAGCAAAAGCATAGGATAGTCAAGATACAACTTGCTTTGTCAAAATAATTTTTTTTATGGGTATATTTCTCTTATATTTAAATCACCAAGAAATCCCTAAAAATACACACACACACACACACACACACACACACACACACATACACACAC